TGTCCAATGGGTAATCAGAGCTGCTACAGTACACAGTAAATTCCAGAAGAAGCATCAAAGGAAATCAGAATCTTCCCCCTCCCCCACAGCATCCAAAAGGCACCCACTGGACCCCATGGGACACTGAAAGGGCAGACCCAGCGGTGAGCTTCCAGGGAGCCTTTGCCGCCCCCCGCAATGTCTCCTAACCCACAACTCATAATAAAGAGATGATTTGCTGTTGGATAAACCTTCCCTGGTCCTTTAAGGTTTGTGCTACCCTCTGCATGAATTTATTCATACATGTCAGCCTCCGGGGAGAACGGAGCTTCCTTTGAAGTAATGAGAGAACTTGGGCCTGGACGTTGGCCCCTGGATGAAAGGCTGACTTGGACCATGGCCTAGAAGTTCTGGTTCAGGAGGGGTCCCCAGTGCAGATGGAAACAGCCCTGTTCTGGCTCAGAGAGGCCTGCCGATTCTTGTCTGGCTGCTGCTGGCGAGACCTCTTTTGTTGCCTTTCCAGGCTCTGTCCTGTTCTGGAGAAGATGGGCAGGAGCAAACTCAGGAACCCTGTCCTCTGGTTTTAAGAACTGCAGAAAGGGGTTTGTGGGAGGCCAGGAAGGAACAGGTTCTCCTCCAAGCTCAGCCCCGGCAGCCAGCCCATTTCTACAGGGACTGCAGGCGGAGGAGTGTGGAGCCTGGCCCACGGGGCCTTTGTTAGCTTCTGCCTTGCTGATCGGATCCTTGCTGATCTGATCGCCTTCTCTACCACCTTCCCAGAAGAATGCTCAGGGCTGCGAGGGACTGACTAGGCCAAACCCAGGCCCTGAGCCAGTCTGACCTACCCCCCGACAGACAGCGCATGGGTGCCACTGGTGTAGCAGGGCTCGGGGGACAGGAGCTGGGTGACTGGACACCTACAGGCCCCAGAGTCAGACGCAGAGAAGGTGATCACAGGAAGATGGGGCTTTCTCTGCCCCTGCCTGGTACCAAGGAGCCCTGCCTTGCCTGGGGGGAGGGGTGGCGCCTGGGACAGGGGTCGAGGCCTGGCCTCTAGAGGGCGCGCGCCTCTCGTGAAGTCCCGGCCACCGGAGCTTAAGAGGGGGCGGGGAGGGGGGCGGGTCCGACCGTGGCACTGGGCTGCCAGGCCCACAGCAGTTGCAGAGCTTGTACATCCTGGATGGGAGCAGCCGGCTAGCTCCTCAGGAGTACCCAGCTCACAGCACTGTGGCTCACAGCCTCTGGGTCTCGGAAGCCTGCGAGGAAAGCCCAGCCCCAGCCCGCCACCTCTGTCCAGAGTCAGGCTTTCTTCCACTCTGGAACAGCCTGGCTGTTTGTGCACTGGTGTGTGTGTGTGTGTGTGTGTGTGTGTGTGTGTGTGTGTGTGTGTGTGTGTGTGTGTGTGTGTGTGTGTGTGTGTGTGCGTGTGTGCCAGATGGTTCCTGAGAGTCACAGCAAAGGGCACCAAGCAGACAAAAAATGGCCCCCATCAGAGACTTTGCAGGACCGTGAGCACCCACAGCCTTGGTGTGGCCACAGCTAACCCAACCCAACAGGCCTGCCCTGGGGACTGCGGGTAAGACCCTCACACCTTGGTCCCCAACCCCCACACCCATCTTCCCTTTTGGGGACCATCTGCCTGGGAAATGCAAACCCACCCAAGAACTCCTGGTCAAACCCAAAGCTGGTGATGGTCAGCTAAGCGGAATGACCAGCAGGTCGCCTCCCATCTCCCTAGGCCTCACCTACCCCCCAGAGGATTGGGGAGGAAGCCCTCCAGAGGACGGGACCCCTGCAGCCAGCCCCACCCTCCTCCTGAGCCCCCCAGTGCCTGCTGGCAGCTAGAGGCGCTGGCAGGTGCTGGCAGCCTGCTCTGCTGGCTACTGACTGGAGGACACCTAGCTGCCTGCCTGGACCTCAGGGGCAGGGATGGCTCCTTTCCTCCCAGGGCAGGGGTCTGCAGGTGCACGGGGTGGAGGCTCCTTGGAGGCCGGGCAGTGTCTGTCCAAGGGGGACTCTGGGGGTGGACTGGGGTGCAAGGCCATGGTCATTTTGGGTACCTCAGGGCGGCTCTCCTTTGTGGGCTTCACAACCCTGCCCCCACTGCTACAAAAGGGCCAAGAACCACCACCCCGCACACACGCCCAGCACCTTACGCTCGGCCCTCCGCCCAGCCATGGGGTATCTGCCCATCCAGAGGAGCAGGGGGCTAAGGGGGGTTGGAGCGGGGGCTGGGGGGGAGGGCTGCGGCGCGGCTGCGGCTCCAGGTTCACTAATCACATCAGCTCACTGTGCGCCGGCTCCAGGCAGGCAGTTGCCTAGCAATACCGTGAATTCAATTCCGCAATCAATAGGCGCCAGGCTCTGCATTTGGGGGAGCGCTGATGAGGCTGCATGGGTGTAGGGCAGGGATCCCACCACAGCCTTGGGGGACAGGCCAGGAAGAACAGGGAACAAGGCTCCTAGGCACTGCCTGGGCCTTGAAAGACAAGATATCTGGACTAGAGGTGGGGCGTACTGGGGCAGGGAGCCCTTCCTTCCCTGGGGTTCCCTGACTTCTGCCCAAAGTTCAGCCAGTAGGTGGGAAAAGCCACCAGCTGCATGCCAGCACACAAGGAGAAAAATCCCCCCCTCCTCCCTGCCAGGCCCCCCGCTGGGCCTTCGGTGGGGCTGTGCTAGCTGGGGGCTTGGGGGGAGAGGGACTGTCCTGACCTAGGTGCAGGGCTGGGAGGGGAGAGGGGTAATGAGAAAACAGTCCCTGTGCTCCCCTCCCCACAGCCTCCTCCCTGATGCTCTGGGAAAATAAATAAAAACAATAAAAGCAAGACATGTGTCTATTTACAAAGTATATATTTAAACACTTAAAAATGGGTACTGGATACAGACATTCAAGACAGAAGAGGATAGGTACCCAAGCTTCTCTCTCAAGCGGAGGCAGAGCCTAAAACCAATCTGTGATGAACACAAATCTGAGAAATCAACACACACACAAGCCACAAGCCCCCTGCGGGCCAGTGCTGACTCCCGGCCCCTGCCCGGCCCCCAGGTCAGCACGCTGTAGAGTGAGCCAGCACAGGAGGTGAACACTCCAGCCAAGGGCAGCTGGCAGGACAAGCGAGCGGCAGCATGGAGTGGCTCAGAGCCAAGCGGTGCCCGAGGGAGGGCGTCGGGAGCGGGGAGGGGGGGTAGCCAGGAAGTTTGGAAGAGAAAGGCAGGTGACAGCCAGGTAAAGATGCAAAGCTGGGAACTACCAACTACTTAGACAGACACACCCCTTCAAAGCAGTTTCGTCTGAAAATATGTCAACACTTAAACAGACACACAGCCAACCGCACTTCTTTATACAAAGTCTAAAGTATCAGTTTTACAAATGTAAAATCAGGTAAAAAAAAAAAAAAACCCTCCATGCCACCGGGGCCTCTCTTCAGGCGCAATCTGCAATCTGATCATCAACACTGAAATCAAGTCCTACCCCGGTTTCCTTTCCTTTCTCTTTAAAGGCAAGAATGTCTGAAGCGGACAGGCTGAGAAGCTGGAGCCCAGTGTGGAGGACAGGCGGGCGTCCCTGCCGGCCACTCTCCACCTCCAAGCTCCCCCAGCCCAATCCTAACTACCAATAGGCTTGCCCCCAGTTTGTGCTTGCTCCTGCTCCGGCCACGAACCCCTCCCAGCAGAAGCCTTAAAACCCTTCGATCTTTGCTGGCCCTTTAAGGGTGGGGAGGGTGAAATAGTGGTCGGGTTGGAGCTGGAAGGGGCGGAGGGGGGTTGAGGGATACATTTGTGCTTTTGAGTCCCGGAGGGGCTGGAGCGAGCGAGCGAGAGAGGGGTCTCTGGGCCCGGTCCGGCACAGCACGGCCTGCCTCCTGCCTCTGCCGCTCACCACCGCCAACTCCCGAGGCCAACTCCCGCTCCTCCTCCCTCCTCTGGCGGCGTCTGGGTGCGGAGTTCATGTACAGAGCACTGGGCTCGAAAAGGTCTATAAATTACAGCTTTTGCTTTTAGGAAGGGGGTGGGAAAAAAAGGAAAAGCAAAAAGTCGAGATGTACATTCCTGGATGGAAACCCAGACGCGGCTCCCGCTTCCTCTTGCCCCACCACCAAGACAAGAATCGGGTAGGGGCTGCGACCCCGGCCCGGCCCAGCCAGGCCCTCGGGGAGGGCCGCCCGGGGCAGCGTCCGGCGCAGGGTGTGCACCCTGCTGGGTGGCCTGGCCTGGGGCCAGAATCCTTTCCTGAGCTGCCCGCCCTCCCCGAGGAGGGATGGGAGGCTGCACCGAGTCTTCCCCGGAGGCGGGGTGGCCATCTCTCCTGGCGCAAAGGACAAGTCCGCCCGAACACTTTTCTTGTAAAGCAACTGTCTGGAGGCCTGGGCACTGACACGCAATCCTCCCAATTTATCCTGGCATTTCGGGAATGTAAACAGATTCGCTGGGTTTCTTTTCTCTCTGTGGAATTAAGGAAAGGAATGGAGGGAACGGGGAGATTTTTGTCCCCAAGACAAATACACGGGATCCGCATGTGTACCGCACACATGTCTCCCGCACACGTCTCCCGTAAAGTGCATTTTCTGGTATGATCCTGGGGGAGGGGGAGAGCAGCTCCCCACGTACCCGAGACATTTTACCCTCAACAACACACACACAAAAGAGTTACTCAAGTTCATACCTTTCCCCCCCCTTAATAGACTTCTTAATCTTCAAAAATAGAAGAAAAAAAAACTGGGCTGACCCGCCCCCTTTTTGCTGATTGGGAAGCCAATGTTTTGTTGGTCTAGCTGGCCAATGGGAAGAGAGAAAAATCCGGGCCTGCTTTGGTGCCAGGAGTCTGGCACTGGGAATGTGGAGCTGGGATGGGGGTCAGGTGGGCAGCCTGGGACCCCCCAGACACTCAGCAGCCCCTGCTTGGGCCCACAACTTGCCAAGTGCCCTGGGGGACAGGAACCCCTCCTGTCCTGGTTCAGACTGTCTGCCCCTACTAAACCACAATGTCTCTCTTTCTCCTCTTTTAAATAAAACAACTTTAAGAGCTGAAATATATATATATTTAGATATTTTTCTTAAATAACATATTTACATCTAATAGAAAATATAACTCTAGAGATAATTTTCCAACCGAAACTGAGAGGGAGGAAGGAGGGCGGAAAGGGGCAGAGGGGTGTGAAATCAGGGACAGGACCAGGCAACGGCCACATCCCAGCCAGAAATAAAAAAAAAAATAAAATAAAAGCACTCGGCAAGTTTGCACTCACTCTCGCCTGCTCTCGCCCTGACCCCCACCGGCAGTTCATCTTTTCTCTTTAAAGAAGCCTTGGTCCGTGCTACTTTCCTTAATGGTGACGGTCAGAAAGTTTGAGGTCACGTCGGTGACCACCACCTTCTCCAGGTTAGTCAGGGAGGGGCTCCAGGACTCTTCCTCTGGGTCCCCCAAGATTCTGGCCACTGGGATTCTGGCGATGAGGGAGGGCCTTCCCCCCTGAGCCCCCATGTCCCGATACAAGCTCCCCACCGAGCCTGGGGTGCCTGACCCATGCCGAACCCGTGGCCCACCAGGATCAAGGGCGCCCTGGCCTTTGGCCTCCAGAAAGGCAGCCCTGTGCTTTATGACCCTGGCTGGGAAGGTGTCCACAGCCAACTTGCCCACTGCCTCCGCTGCGCCAGGGCTGGTCAGACCACATTGCAGCAGGTCCGAGTCCTGCCTTCTAGCCAGCTGGATCACACTGTGGCCAGCTGGGAACTTCCCGGTCCCGGAAGGCATGTCATCCAGCTTCCTGCCCTTCAGGTATTCTCCGAGGCCATCACTGGACTCTCCCAAGGGCCTCTGCGAAGAGTCTAGAAGCTCCTTGCGGGGTTTGGGGCCTCGTTTCTTAGAGCTGTCCCCTGGAGAGCTGGGTTTGTCATCCATGCGGCTGGCGCTCCGTTCCCGCTCCCGCTCCCGCTCTCGCTCTCGCTCCCGTTCCCTCTCTCGCTCTCTGTCACGATCCCGGTCCCGGTCCCTTGGGGGTTCTGCGCGGCAGGTGCTGCTGGTGCTGCTGCTGCTCCCTGGAGGAGACAGACCCATGTTCCGAAGGCCCTCTCGGCCCCGGGAAGCGGATGCCAAGTCCTGCGGGGAGCGACCTGGGTAGGGGATCCTGATTCCCCGTGCAGAGTCACTTCTGAACTCGTAGGTTTTGGCTTTTGCCTTGGCCTGGGCCTGCAGAAAGAGAGCCAGCGAGAGGAGGCGTCAAGGATGAAGCAGGGCCCCGCCCCCCCACCCCTCCTCCAGCCTTGACCTCCCAGCTTCACCCAGCAGCTTGGGAAGTTCTATATGGGTGGGGAGGGGGTGGGGCTTCGCGGTGTGCAGTCTGGGGGAGGGGAAAGGGGATTTGTCCTGAAGCCATTTGCAGCCAGCACACTAGGATATTCCATTGTAGATCCTTTTGGGACGGCCCAGGGAGAGCATAAAGGCATTCGGGAATGTCTAAGCTCCACCACCCAAACACTCCTGGGGGCCTCCACTGACTTCCTGACAAGCTGTCAGGGGACTCCCTCCTAGAATACAAACAGGCCGCGAGTGTGGACACCCCCATTGGCTCACAAACCCTCAGGGTCCGCTTTGCATGAAGTGACTGGACAATATCGCTGTCGGCCATTGGACACTGCCACTCTACCTTGAGAAGGAAGGTTTTAGGTTTGGGTCCTCGTTTTTTGGGGCCATAGAGTTCCATCTCTCGTTCCCTGGAGAGAGGGAGAGGGGCGGGGGTGTGAGTGGGGCTCCAGTCCAGGCCCCTGAGGCCGCCCCACTCCCCCCACCCTGCCGGGGTCGGTACCTTTCCTCAAAGGCTGCGAGCAGCCGGGCATCGAGGATGTTTTCTTCTGGCTCCCAGGTGCTGTATCTAGAGGGGGTCGGGGAGAGGGAAGGGGGCGTCATTCTCGAGAGCAGGGGGCGTGCGTGTGCACGCGCGTGTGTCTGTGCGTGTAACTTTTCTACGGGCCTCGCATGGCATCTCAACGTCCAAGGGAAAAGAGGAAGAAAGAGACCTCCGGAGTCCCCAGCGCGGGGTGGAGGGCTGCCCGTAACCTACTTACTTCTGCGACCAGCCCTTCCACTTCACGAGGTATTCCATGCGGCCCTGCGGATGCAAAGGAGAACACGCGTGTGTGCGTGTGCGCGCGCGCGCGTGTGCAGGGAGGGAGGCACGACGAAGACACAGAAATGAGGCGAAAACGCACGCCCCGGACCCCGCCGCCGCCGCCGC